ACAAATAAATCCGCGATACCCATTGATCAGTCCGCACGATAATCGGCCGGCGCGCAGCGGCAACGGCAACCAGAGCGGCGGCAGCAGCAACGGCAATGGTAATGGCAACAATGCCAACTCCAATGCCAATGCCGGTGGCCACAGCCACAGCCAGAATCTCAATGTGCTGCGCACCATTGGCAACAGCCTGGTGGCCAACAATCAGCTGAACACCTATGCCGGCAACGCTTTTGGGTAACATTCTCAGACAGCCCTGACCCTACAAAAAAAAAAACAAAATTTTCTATATAAAACCACATACCTTCCCCCAAAAAAATCAAAAAAACAAAACAAAACCCAAAACGAGCGCGCACAACGTTCCTAACTCTAGTTACTACCCTCGTTCTCTCGTTCTCTCGACTCTCGATACCCATGACATCCCCAATCATGATCATCACATCATCTCCAACCACCAAACCACCATGAACCACATCACCACCATTTCGGTTAGCTCGTCCAGTGGCAATGTGGGAAATGCGAATGGAGGCGGCGGCGGCGGAGGTGCCGTTACCATCTATACCACTACCACCAACGAGGGCGTGGCAGGCGGCACCGGCGGAAACGGTGGCACCGGCGGCATTAGCAGTAACATCACTGGCGGCGGACCGCTCCAGGAGATCATCGTGAACCCATCGTCGATGGTCGGCTGGCGGCTGAGCGCCAATGGGTCACTGATACCGCCGCATGACCTGCTCACCGGCGGCTTGCCGAATGCAGCCACGCAAAAGCGCGGCTCGGAGCGATTGTTTCAATACCTCGAAGCCGAGGGCAGCGATCCGGAGGACTATGCGCGGTATTTGCTTAAAAAATCTATAAACCAAACCGTTTTCATTGTGTTTTTCGTTGGTTTCATTCGTTTTTCAAATATTTTTTCATCCAAATATTGTGTCTTTATTTTCGAGTACTTGGTTACATCAACATTTTAATAATTTAGGTTTTGTTTTTGGTTCATTTCATTCATTTAAGGCTTTAGTCCTTTTTTCTACCAAAGCTTGTGTTGTTTTTTTTACTTGATCCTTGACCCTTAATCTCTGCACTTGTTTTTGTTCTTCACTATTAAGTACTTTTGTTCATGTTTTCGCACATATGTATATTTAGTTTTGGGGAATTACCAAATCGCATCTCCATATTCTCTTTACTCGTTACTCGATATTCGCTTCACCTGGTTTGTCCTTTGGCCCCAAATTATATTCATTTTGTGAATTTAATTAAGGTTTTCACCGAGTTATGTATGTTCTCTTGTTCCTCTTTTGTGTTTTTAATTAAAATTCAATATTATTTTCCCAATTGTGTTAACTTTACAACGATTGCCAGTTAGTCGTTAGTCGTTACTTCGTTTTGGTTAACTTTTCGTGTCTCTGTTTTTCCAAAATTAAATTATTTTCAATATAAATAACCATTTCTTTTATAATTTCGCACCGTTGACCACGTTTTTATTACATTTTTACCTCTAATTTTTTACCTTTTGTTATTCTTATAAACTATTATTAATGCCGTATACTAATCGTTACCCATTCTCTTTCCAGTCTGCTCAAAATGGACGCCATCAGTCGCAACACCGCTTCGGTCGCTCAGGATTTTCATAAGGCGGGAGGCGTGCACGAGTTGAAAATACCAGCCAACCATCAACTCTTGTTTAACAATAAACTGCCTTCGCAATGGACGACACGAGAGGCTGCTGCACTGCTGTACAGCCTGAGCAACATGGGTAACAATGGCAGTTCCGGCTCCGTTTCCAGCTCCCAGCGCCAAAAGTTTGGCATGCGGGCGCGACAACATTCCACCGGCGAGGATGACGAGAATACACCCTCGTCGGCCTCCTCGTCGAGCTTCTCCGGCGATGAGTTCAACATGAGCTCCACATCGCCTCTGAAGCTGTCGCGTCATGCTGCCCTCAAGCTGGAGAAGAAAATGGAGGATGCCAAGGATCTGGTGGTGCCCACCAAGGCGATGATGGCAACGGCATTTCTGGAGGCGGCCAACTACGAGCAGACGGCCATCGAGCTGCTGGCCAGCAAGCGGAAGATCAAGGTCGAGATCGAGAATGATGAGGAGAACGAGAACGACGAGGATCAGGAGAACCAGCAGCAGCAACAACTACAGTCACATCAGCAGCATTCCCAGCAGCAGCAGCGATTGCAGCTTATTAAATCGTCTCCCGCGTATAAACTCAACAACAACAATAACAATAGCAACAGCAATAACAACAATAACTACTACAAGGACAAGACATCGCACAGAAATGCCGTTCACCAACATCATCATCGCCAGGATGACAAGGAGAACAAGACCAAGTCGTCGTCGTCGCCAGCAGCAGCAACAGGTGCACCTGCAGCAGCCTCATCGCCGCCCAGCAGCAACCAGACAACGTTTCTCACCCAAATGGAGTACCAGAATCTCAATCGCATCGGTACCCAGTTCCAGAACTATGTCAAGGACATCATCAACAAGTACTATGCGGCGGAGACGCCTCTAATGCTGGCCGCTGCCGCCGCTGCTCTGCCCACGGCCACCACAACGGGCCAGCAGCAGCTGCCGGTGGACATTGAGAACCTGTCGCCCAGCAAGCGTCGGCGTCTGCTCAGCGAGACCGAAGAGTACATTGAGTATCTGCGGAACAAGGAGGACATCACCTTGACCATAGCACCAAAGGTACCGCGACCCACATCGCCGTCGCTGCTCAAGCGTCAGCTGGATCTGACTGCGCCACGTCGCAGTCCCAAGAAGGCGCCACCGCCTCCGGCCAACGTGTCCCGTAAATCCCTCAACCAGTTGGCCACCCTCCTGCCACTGCTGGCGGATGCGGCCAGCAAGCAAGAGTATCTGGCCGCTCCGTTGGACTTTAGCAAGAAGTCCAGCTCCCGCAAGCAGGCGCAGCCAAAGAAGATCCGTTTGACACCCGAGGCGGTGGTGACCATGCTGCGGGACAAGTACCTTAATCGCATGGTGCGCCAGCGTCTGGGATGCCTCAAATGCAGTCAGGCCAGCGGAAGCGACGCCATGTGCTTCAACTACCATACGCTGGGATCGCTGGCATTGCACAAGTACTGGCGGCATCGCCACGAGGGAGCCGTCAGGGGAAAAAGGCTGCGGGCAGCGCTGCAGAAAAGGATTGGCGGAAAGTCGGTGGCGACCGTGTAGTTTTTTTTCGGTTTTGTTCTTGGAAAATGTGTTTGCTTCAAAATGCATTTGGCATTTTTCTGACTTTTGAAAATCGTTTAAAAAATTGCATTTAATTTTTTAAATTTTAAGTTGTGATGTACCTGAAATATGATTTCTCTTAAAAAAACAAAAAACAAAAATACTTAAACAAACAAAAAAACAAAACAAAACACAATTCAAGCAGGGCAGCCGCTTGCAGGTGAATTTCATTATCTTAGTTGTACAATTGAACTAACTCACAAGACACACTCACAAAACACACATATTCACAAGAATATTTAATGATTTATTACATGGAATGAGCATTTATCAAAATGTATGATTTCCAGCATTTGTATTTTCTTTACTTTCAAATGAAACATGTGAAGTATAAAAGCTTTAATTTGCCATTTTACAAAGCTTGCTGCGTTTAGTTACGAGTAATAATGATTGCCATCTTTTTACACTTATAAATATTATTATATAGCCCTTAGTCATCATTAGTCGTTACGTTGTCCTAGTTTACGCATTAATTTATAGAACTGCAGAACGCAAACCTCATCGAACGAACCCTTTGCCTTACTTATCATTTAAGCTTTAACGTGAAAATACATTAAGTTTTAGTTGCTTTAAGTTAGAGTTACTCCTTCTCGGAGCAGTCACGCCCACTCAATGCCCTCTCACAAGACATTCGCTCGAGAAGCGAAACAAGCGTCTATATAAATATTATTAAAAACAAGCTAAAAATGAACAAAACTACATATAAATATTACTGTACGTGTAGATGTATTCATGATTTTATCAGAAACAAACCAAGTTAGAGATTGCGAAGCGAGAACAAGGACATACGTCAAAATACTCAACAACACATGGATAGAATACAACAACAACAACAAGAACCTTTTTCACCAACACACTGGAAACAAGAAAATATTTGACTGAAAAGTGTCGGGGAAAAGAACATTATGATATATATGTATGAATAAAGGTATAAACAATTTTAGTGTAAAATGTGTGTGTTTTTGCTAAATGTGGTAAACTAAAAACATAATAAAAAAAAGAAAAACGAAGGAAACCGTAAATTTATTACACAAAAAACTAAACTAAAAAAATGCGTAAACGATGAGAAATTCTTAAGTAAAGTAAATTTTTGGATGACAAAGCCATTTAGACAAAATTTTTGAGACGAAAAAAGACATTTATAAGAAAGGAAACATGAAAAAAGAAAACAAAAAACAAACAAACCGAATTACTTTAAATTTTATTTAAGCAATGAACTTGCAACAAATAAGGAAAAAAAAAGTATAATTACAATAACAATGTAATGTGAGTGTTTTTAGTTTAAAATTATATATTTCCAAAACATTCAAAATAAAACATAATTAGTTTAAAATATAAAATACAAAACAAACTTCTTTTGCTGGGTTGGGGTATTGCTTTCTGACTTTTAAGTGAAAGTATATAGATTTTTGTAGTACCTGTTCCAGATCTTTCTTATGAATTATATTTATTTATTTTTTAGATTTATATTTTAAGTGAAATTTACAGTTTTCTCTATTAAAGAACGCATACGGGTAGGATTAGTAATTGAAATTTTATCAGGAAATTCCAAAAGAATACCCAATGTGCAAAGTATTTTAAATAAACATGCGTTTCTTATTTTCAAATATTAAGATGGGCACCCTAGTTTTAAGATCGGAGCCCCAAACAATATAAAAACACTTGTAAGAAGCGCTATTTGAGTTTGTAACAATGTACTGGTTTTATTTTTGTACTCCTGAGAGCTCATACCTTATCCCAAAAAACAATGCAAGGATATATTTATGTAGTTATGTACGTTTAATTATAAAGGGAACAAAGTGTTTATGGTTATTACAGGCTTTTTATTAAACCACAAATATTCAGCTACAAACTATTTTCTTAAAAATGTACTTTAGATATACATATACCCATTGATTTTGAGGTGCCTTTATTTTATCGGGCATCAAAGACGACAACTATAAAAAAAAGAAAACGAAAGATTTCATCAGTACAGTTTGACAATCATTGGAGACTGTTTCATCAGTACAGTTTAAGAGTCATTGGAGACTTCTGGGGGATTTACTTACGACGCTTGGTGCGCTTCTTGTACATGATGCGATAACCACACTCACGGCAACGTATAGGGTCTCTGGGTCGCATCTCGTTCTCATGATGACATTCTGCAAGTTAATTATATAAGAATAAATTAATTATAATAAGTAAATTTAAATTACACGACTTTGTTGTTGGTTTTTCATAGCAGCCATGTGCGTGTTGGCGGAAAATCGTTTTCCGCTAGAAGTACTTGTTTCGCCAACTTACCACCACAAATATAAGTCATTGCTGTCTTAACATTGTCCTTTGAGCTTGTTTCCGACATTTTTACAAAGTTATTTTGTTAATAATCTTAAAAAAAGACAAAAAATGTGTTTTGTTTTGCCGAAATTGTGTTTAGAGTGACCGTAGGTAGAAACAAAAGGAAATGCTCTTGACAAATAAATACTAGAATTTTTGGTATATATTAAATGTGATATATTTGAATTTTGAAATGTTTTAAAAAAGATTTATTTTTAATTTCATTAAATATGTGTTAAATTAATCTTATATATTAGTTATTCATATTAAATTAAATTATATTTTAAATATTGCACATTCTTTAGTTTCTCATAAATCGCTTATTCTCTCTCTTTTCGTTGTGTTTTAATAAATTATTTTTATGTTTCGACGTCTGGTTGTGTCTTATCATGGTTCCAACGATGGTTGTTCCACAAGGATCGCAAAAGTTAACTTTTTCGGGTTGTTGATAACTACAAGGAGCAGTGGAAGGCTTCCTTTTTGGCTTCCTGCTCAATCGGTCTCCTTTGACCAAGGATTTGGTCGTGGTTTCCATCTTTAAAAAGGGTTCTGTGGGTTCCAAATCGATCCCATCTTCGTTATGATCGCTTTCTAGCGAAGATTTTGTAATACTTTCGGGCTCTCTAGTCTTATTTCTTCCCGTTTCCATCTTGCGAAGCTCATCCTGATGCCTTTTGGACCTGCAGTGCCGCAGATAGTTATCCTTGGCCTTGATGGTCAGGTTACAGGTCTCACAGTGGGTCACATGCAGCTTCAAATGCACCGCCTTCCGATGGACTTGCATCTTTCCCTGGCTGTAGAACGCAGCTCCACAAATCTCGCAGGTAAAGTTCCTCTGCTGCAGATGCTTCTTGTTCAAGTGTTCCCGAAGTAAAAAGGTATTGGGAAAGCTTTGATCGCAGTGCTGACACATTGGTTTGGGTGCCTGAGGCTTCTTGTCCAGCCCTCGTAGCTCCCTCACTTTCTCTCTGTGCTTCTTGATGGCCTCTCGACATTCCCTGGGCGTGTGATCACTGCAACACCGCGCCACAGTGGGAACTTTACAAATCAAACATAGTTTCTTCCGGTCATGGATCCTGGCTACATGGGAGTTCCTTGTGGCAGCCAATTGGAATCGCGAGCGGCACTTGGGGCACTTGAAGGGATGATAGCGGAGGTGGCAGGTCTTGCGAACGCGCTTTTGATGTTTTCTTAGAGACTTTCTTGTCAGGAAGGACCTATTGCAATTGTAGCAGGGGAAGGTCTCCGGATCTGGCTGAGTCCTTTTATGGTTCTTCAAAAAGTGCAGCTGATGGCTGAAGGAGAAGCGGTATTCCTGATCACACAGTGGACACAGAGTGAGCATTAATCTCATACGTCCCCGGATGGGAGACCTGTTTTCCTCCTCGTAGTCCAGACGAAGGTGCTTTGGCACTGCCAACACTATATCCTCCACTTGAGCAGGCGCTTGCTCTGGTTCCTCCAACTCCTGGGACCTTTGAGCCAGCAGCAGTTTTTTGTAGCTCTCATTGGCCATTAGTTCCTCGGAGCTGGGTCTTCTACCTCCGATCTTCCTGATGAGATGAGCAGTTAACGAGTGCTGTAGGTAAAACCGGCGATAGCAGATCCTGCAGTGGAAGTTGTCGCTGAATCGGTGCTCCTTCTGGTGGTCCTCCACATCCTGGAGTTTCCGCCAGGGCAAATACTCGCACTTCAAGCAAGAGCAACGCAATCCGGGAAAGAATAGGGCTGCTTTCTTGGGGCGCAGAGCACCCTGGGCTTCCGCAGTTGTTAGCTGACTAATCGCTCTCCTATAGCCCGAGGTCACAGTATCCAGAATCTCGGCTAGCTTTTCATTAGATATGTTAATCTTCTGCGCAGCAAAGACCTCGGAGATGGCAGCATAATCCTCTTGTAAATCCACCTTAAAATACTGATTTGTCCAGAAATGATCCCTTAATTGAGCAGCCTGCAGCAGAAGCAACATGTCAGCACTGCGAAAACGCATCATCTTCTGGACATCGCCGCCGGAGGCGGCAGACGAAGAAGATGGGTCGTCAGATTCCCCGTTGAATGCCACGTATTTCTGGCTGAATCCGCGACAGCATTTGCACTTGCACGAGCAGGGCGTGGGGCATCCTGTGGGCTTCTGGCCAATTTGTAGGGGTGGCAGATCATTGGTAAAGTTTTCGTAGATAATTAACAATTTTCCAGGCCAAGACATGAAAAATCAACAAGTTTGTAAACAAAAAATACATAAACAAGTGGCAGTAGGACCAGTCACAACGTCTTATAGAAATCCGATAGAAACTAGTATATTTTTGGTATATAAAGTAATCGGCCAACTATCGGCCTATCGGATATAAAGTGATCGGATTTTGTGCTGAACAGCTGTTCGATTTTCGCGGCATTTCATTAAATATTGCAATTTTTGTTAAAAACAATGGTTAAAACCAAAGGAAATGCCATGAAATTTGGCATGCATCCGCGTAATGTATTGCGCCAGCCGCCGGATTACACCAAACTGGCCATTAAGTACAAGGACTTCCGGCAAGTGTGCCAATTGGTAAGTTGGCCTAACATTTCTAGGGAGCTCCTTTTAAATATTTATTTATAATTAAATAGGAGCTTACTGGCAAAGTCTCTGTGAATTTTCGCAATGAAAAGACGCTAAGGGAACTCACCAAGATGCTGCTGAAGGAATACTTTGACTTGGATGTGAACTTTGCCCCAGGAAGTCTGGTGCCCACGTTGGCCCTGCGTTTGAATTACATTTTGTGGCTGGAGGATTTGATGGAACCGTTGAAATTGAAGGAAATAAGGGGAATTGATATAGGTAAGGCTTTGAGATTGTATTAACAATTAATTTACTTATAAGTATCTCCACAGGATGCGGTTCCTCTTGTATATACTCTCTGTTGGCTGCCAAGAAAAACGACTGGCACATGCTGGCCCTGGAATCAAAGCTCCAAAATATAGAATACGCCCGGGAGAATGTAAAAACAAACCAACTGGAAGCCCTAATCGATGTTTATACCCAACCAGATAAAAACAGCATATTCAAAAGCTACTTTCTGGAGAAGGAGCAGGATAAAAACTTCCACTTTTGCCTGTGCAATCCCCCATTTTTCGATTCCAACTTGCCCAATCCCTTTGGGGGTAACACCAGGAATCCAGAGCGACGTCCTGCACCCAACAATGCCAGAACAGGCAGCCAGGAGGAGCTTACCTGCGTGGGCGGCGAGGTACAGTTCGTGCAGCGCATCATCGACGAGAGCCTGGAAAACCAGCAGCGCGTACGGTGAGTCAATCTTGATTAGTGTCCAACTAGTTGGAATTAAATTTAACTTGTTTCTTCATTTTCTTTTGTCCTCGGTGTACAGCATCTTCACCACAATGCTGGGCGTCAAGGCCAACGTGCCCAGGATATTGGACTATCTGAAGGAGCGGCAGGTGGCGAATGTCAGCACCACGGAATTCCATCAAGGACATACCACGCGCTGGGCAGTGGCCTGGAGCTACCATTCAGAGCCGCTAAGCCAGGCGGCTACGACAACTTCTAATTAAGTTATTTCTTCAGTTCAGGTAAGTTCTTATACGCTTTAAAATTGTGCTTCTGTCTGAGTAGTTTTTAAGTGAGCTGAATGGTAGGTAGTTGGTAACAATATGAACAACACAGACAAAGATATATTCCCACCTACAGTCTCCCCCTTTTTAAAACCACAACTGCCTGCCCACCCAAACGCCCTTGTCCATTAACTTTGTAAATACCTGGGCGGGATTTCTCATGTTTAAAAATAAACTTAAGCTGCTGCAGCTGCACCACCAAATAAACTCTGACCTTCAACCCACACCTCCCAGTTGGGACTTTCCAGTTGCGACTCCATTTGCTTGGTTGGTGCTGCTGTCAGAAAGCTTTTCCCCTAAATGGAAATTTGCATGTCAATGCTCACTTTGCCGCCCGCCGCCAGCCAGGTCCACGAACGGAAATTATCGTTTCGTTGCTATCATTGACCACAGCTGACCACCCACACGCTTGGTCTTTCCATGGAATAAAAGCAAACAGAATCAGAATGGCAACAACAACCGAAATGGAGACCAACACGCAGACTAAGCAAAAGTCGTTGTCGTTGCTGCTGTGCTGGTCAACACCGGAATTTCCACACCTTTGTGCCGGGGAATTCGTGCTATTCCTCAGCTCCTACGCTGCTCCTCCGCCATGTGGGATCGCAAATAGTAACTTTTAATTGCCGCACAAGGCACGCTTGCTCCGGTTTTCACCCCCCGAACTTGGAGAAAGAATACCCCTTTGAGGAGTTTATATGGAAAATGGGATTATCTTGCATATATATTTTGGGAAAATCTTTAAAATTACTTTTAGTTTATTGGAATATTTTAAGGATACATCTTTTGTGAAGGGAAGACGAACGTTTTTTACCTTCTTAACATTTTTATATATTAAAATATTGTATAAATTAGAAATTTTTTATATTTAAAATTTCGATAAACATCCCTAATCAGAATAAAATTATATTTCTTCATGCTAATTTCTCAAATTAAGATTTTAAAGAGTATCCCAACATTTTCATTACATTCTCACCCATCTTTGCTCTACTTTCCGTTTGCTCTTTTTGATCCTTTTCATGACTTGGCCGTTGCTGTTGGCCTTTTGTTGATGCCGTTGTGGTTGTTGTTGTCTTTTATGGCATTTCAACACGTTAAGGTGTAAAGAACAACGTAATTAAAATGCAAGCCGTTGGTTTTTGAGTCTGAAAAGATACGGTCTCTCCCGACTGCGTCATGCGTCCTAGGTGCGGTCGTTTTTGTTTTCCAGTTTTTGCGTTCATGTTTTGTGGATTTTGAGGTCTGTCTCTCTCTCTATCCACTGATTACGGCCCGAAGGCTCCCTCGTGGCCGCTCTCTCTAATTTTTCCCAGCTATTATCTTAATTTTAGGCACCCAAGGACCCACTGAATTCGACACGTGTTCCTTCTGCCTGGGCTTGTCCGACTCGATGTGGTAATTGTTAATTAAAAACGCGCTCTGGTCACGTAGTGGTGTGTGGGTTTTGAAGACATAAAAACCCCACGAAACCAGAACCATTCGAACCAGATCCGAGTTTGACTCTTTTAGTGGCCGCAGAGTCGTTAAATTGTTTGGAAAATAAGTTTATGTTTAGCCATAACTTCGAATAATAATACTTGTGTCTATGGCTGTTGCGTTTTGTAATACATTTATAATGCCTCCATTAAGGGATTACAGTGGGGGAAAAATAAATGATAAGATAAGTAATTGTCTTGTCCATGGAGAGAAATAAGTGTGGTATTGATAGGGATTTTTTATTGTACAATATATCAATGGGAATCTGGGGTTGAAATGGGAAATGTTAGGGTATTCTGCTGTAGTTGCTACTTTATACATTTTTGAATTAAGAGTAGTTCTTAAACGAAATATATATAGTTTTTAATATTTTTAAAAATATCTGGATTAATTGCTTGTATTTTATAGAATGAGAATTTTATTTTATAAACTTTACTTTATCTATTTTTTATAACAAAAAATTAAAATTGATTTGTTTTAATCATTTTAATTTATTATTAGCTTATTTATTTATTTGTTTATAATTTTCTTAGAGCATTCATTTTGTTTTTAATAGCAAAATTAACTTTAAACCCTTTAAGCTTCTTTAAAATGCAAAATAAACCTTATAAATCCTCAATTCTTTTTCACTTTTAAATCCTACGTTGTACAAATATTTTTCTCTACAAAAATATTCCACATCAAACCTTAAAAATAAGGGTGACTTAGTCATTGGATTAACCCATTAATGTTTTGCCCAAATAAATAAAAACAAGAAAGGAAACTAACTTAGGGAAGCCGAAATTTGTATACCCTAGAAGTTTGATATACAAACTTAATATTGAATCAAAAATTGAACATAACTAAGCCAAAAAAGCTTCAAATTCAATTCGGAAAGCTTTTCTAAGCAAGTTTTTTCCCGGCTAACAAATCTGCATGCTAAATTTTAAATTAAAAAAAATCAAAATTTTTTCCAATTTTTGAAAATTTTTACGATGAAATTTTTTTTATGAAATTTTGAAAAAAATAAAAAAAATTTTTTTTTCTCTGGCATGTCTAGAAAGATTCGCCTGTTAATGCTGATCAAGAATATATATGCTTTATAGGGTCTAAAATGACTCCTTTACTGCATTGCAAACTTTTTACTAAAATTGTAATACCCTTTTAGGGTATTAAAATGACCACAACTGGGTGGTTTTCTGTGGGACCTGAAATCTTTGTCAACTTTGTAAAATTCGGACATCAATCAATTGCCAAAAAATCATCCATCAACTGATCCTGAGCCCAGGGCTAACCACACCGACAAATAAAAAAAAAAAAAAACAGGAAGCGCGTGGGCCCCAAAAAGTAGGCAATGACTTGACACAAAATGTTTTTTGGGACTTAAATCGAAGCGGACAGCTCTTTAAGCGTGGGAGCCAGGAAAATCCATTTGCGAGGTGGCAGGAGCATATAGGGAGACCCTTCGTGATGGCACGTAACGAGCTGCCAGACGACGGCGTCTGTTGCAATTGGCAGCAGGCTGCAGTCCCTCCTCCCCCCGAAAAAAAACCCTCTAAATATACGGCTATTGTCGTGTCGCATGTGCATGCAGATACATTCACTTAATGCAATGAAAAGCAACCAAAAAGGAACGAATCAAAGGGGATAAAAACAGACAATGCAAATGCACCGAATGCGTGTACAGAGTGGTGAGCAGGGGCGTAGCAGGAAGGGGTTCGAGATTTTTAATTAATTTGATTTTTGTTTAAATGTTTCTATGAGGAAATTAAGAGATAGTTCAATATAATTCAGTATAATTCTATAATATATGAAGTGAAGTCTTTAACAAATTCCTGATGCTGTAAAGACCTCTCTTTTCTTTTTAAAAATGTTTTAATGTGAAAATTAAGAGGGATTTTCTTCGTGATTTCTAGACTAATGATACGATTTACGCTCTACATTTCCATAATGAAATTTTAAAAATAATATTATTTACTTATAAATATCAACATAATACAAATAAACCTCTAATTTAACCTTTATTCAAAGCAAATTATTATTATTTCATATATCCTTCCTCCCAGTACCTTTAATTTAATCAAAATAATCATAAAAGAACTCCCAAAACTCCCCCTCTAAGGACCTGCATGAGCCCCTGTCTGCGCTGTTCGTCTGTGTGTTTGTGTGTGTGAGTCTGCGGTCGTTGTCTGCCTGTGTGGGTGGGTGCTTCAGTTTTTGTGGCGTGTGTGTCATTCATGTAACCTTTCAATAAACATGCCTGTGTGGGCGGTGTGTGTGTGCCAATAGGCGTGGCAGTCGGTCGGTGCAGGCATGCAGCCGGAGGATGGTTAGCAGGGAGTCGTGTAATTGAACTCCTTATACATATACCCCAGTCCGGTTGAGTGTGCTGCTCGGGGAACTCTTGAATGTGATTTTAAAGTCAACAGCGAGCACCACTCCTGTCCTGACATCCGAACTGTCATTTTTTGGTTTGCCGCTTGTCTGCCAGACAACCTCCAAGCGGCGAGCTCCGCTTCGCTCCTCTTCAATCCGATTCGATACCCATTCCTGGCCCCTACTCCTCTTCGTTGGACATCTATTGTCTGCTCATATTCCCCGGTTAATATTGGCTTGGCATATGGCCAAGAGAGCTGGGTTATCGGATATGAATGCAGCCATCCATGCAATAAGCAAGGCAGGGCTCCCTTAAAGCGTATAAATAAATACAATAAATACAAATTTAGATAAGTAAATGTTATTTACTGTTTTTTTGTTTGCTTTATATTTTAAAGAAAGGAAAATATTGCGATAAGTTGGGGGTTTTATTTTAAAATATTTGTAAATATATATTTAAACAGGTTAAAAATATTAGAAAGGTGAATAAATAGAGCTTATAACAGTTTAGTAAACATAATTTCCTAAATATATTTTGAAAAATCCGAATATTTGTTCAACATTTTTCTAAATATTAATAACAAATTTCTAAATAATATACAAAAATGATTAATAACCCGATTTTCTTGCCTATAAGCCAAATATTTACACTGGGTGTCGCTTCTAAAAAATATCTTGAACATCTCTTGCATCATTAATTAAATCAAATTAATTAAATCCCACGTACGATGTGTATTTCATTTCGACGCCTTTTCAGCGTTGCCTATGATTAATTGGCCTTGTCGCATGAACAGAATGAAGGGAAATGTACGCCAAAATATCCTGGCATACAGACATAACATAACACAACATATATCATGTCGGGGGACTTATTCAATTACCGTTAGCGACTTTCTCTGTTGCCACAAATCAACGCGAAGGTGACAAAAGAAACGCTTTTGTCGCCCAAAATGACATCAGATATTCAGATATATATTCAGATGTGAGATAAACACGTCCAGGACCTAGGACTCCCCTCAGGCATTGGGGGGTCAAGGTGAAAAGTCGAATAAATAATGAGGCAAAAATGCGTATAAATTGCTCAGCACAAAAGTGGCAACAAAGCAAATAATAATCAACGAAAAAAAAACAACGAGGAAACGGAAGCGGAAGTGGAGGAGTTGAGGCAAAAGGAGTCTCATCTCGACTACAAATCGGTTTCGCCTTGGAAATTCTGTTTGCTAAAACCCTAAAGTCGAAATATCTCAAGAGCACATACAGATTTTCGCTTTAAATTTATCTGCTGTCAGTTTTTTTTTCTTTTCTAGTAGACCTGAAAATTGTTGCGCACCGCTGAACTTGAGACTTGAAAAGGACGCGAAAAACTTTCCATTTGGCAGAAGTAGAAGTGTCCCAGGGGAAGAGGGAAAATTGCCTTTGCAAAATAAATAAATAAAATAGACCCAAAGTAAGAAGGCGGCAAATGACTAAGGCGGAGGCGGTGTGGAAAAGAGGGTTCTCGAAGAGCAAAGAGCAGGCCAGAGTTCGGAGGCAACGCGGCGTATACGTGTTTTTTATCCTTCTCGTTGTTTTGCTGGTGTGTGTGTGTGCTTATGCCCACTCTAAGGGGGCGCAAAAATCGAAAAGCTAAGCATTTCATCTAAAAACAAAGCTATTTATATCTTTTTTCGGGCAACATAATGACCTGGCATTTCTGTCGGCAAATGATGCGCAAAGTCGGCCCAAGACACTCTCGTCTCTCGTCTCGAGTGTTGTCAGTCATTTTATCAGGGGGCCCTGAAAGGGTTTATGTGTCGCCCGTCGCGCGTTTCTGCCATTGTAAGAGGTCCTTGGGACTTTTTGGAATTTTGCGCCCATGAATTTTCGCACCATGTTGATGTCCTTTTGGTCCTGTTCTCTGTGTTTGTCCTGACATGAGGATGAGGGTGTGCGAATTTACACTCAAGGCTGCCGTTTTTCCTGCTGCTGCTGCTGTTTTTCCATTGGTTTTCCCCGGGCTCAGTCCCTGGTTGGTCTTGTTTTTTGTCTTCAAAACTACAGAAAAAGAAATGGAGGCAGGACAGCAGCCGCAGCTGCCTCTGCCGGGTTCTTCACACTTAATTGTTGGCCTTTTTGTCTTAAGATGGTGGAAATTCTGCGGGAAAAATTTCAAGAAGCTCAGGCACAAATTTAATTGAGCAACTTGGGGTGGAAAATGTACTTAATCAGGCAGCTAAAAAGGCTTAGGTTTTCACTTTTTTTAAATTTTTATTTATTTTTTTGATAACATTTTATAAACCTTTAAGGGTTAACTACATTAAAATGGTTTGTGTACTTAGTTTTATTAACCTCTCAGTCCTAAGAAATACATAAAAATATCTAGGAAATTCATGAAAAGTGTAAAAAAAACATTGCTAGTAAAAAAAAGAGATTTTCTTTTATATTTTACACTTTTTACAACCACAAAATCAGTATATAATTTGGTTTAAATTGTGGTTTAACTAATATCTGTTTGTTTAATGTATTGAATATATAATTTTTATTTTTTTTATATATCCTCCTGCATGCTTTTAATATCCATTTTCAGTTGTAATTCAGTTTCATTTAATTTCCAACCAAAAGCCTTCACAATTTTTTACATTTCAATTCAATTAAATTGGACAAATTGCCTTTTTGTCGCGCTGACTGAAACCGTGGTTTTGTTTTAAACGAAATTGCATTAAAACTGTCTCTTTTTAATTAATAACAATTCTGTATTTTTAAACACAAAAGGTTGCCATACAAACAGAACTTGTAGTTCTTTTTTATTTGACCTTTTTTTTTATGTCAAGCTCATTTGCATATGCTCAGACATCCGCAGTCGTATTATGTGAATGTGAATGTGAATGTGGAGGAACGTGAAACCTGAGCAAAGTTTTGATTAAAATTGCTATATGGTTTACATATGCAGGGACTCTGGCTTTACGATTATGCGTGGCTTGCACTCCCAACTAGAACTAAACGCACTTGGACTTTATTATTATTATGGAGCAGCTTTTACAGGAATGGGAGAAGAGTACACTTGAGTAAAATACGTATTTTAAGGAATTAACGTAATTTTAGAAATTATAAATGTTGTTTGATTTAGGTTTTATATTTTAAAAAGCCTCCGAAATTATTAAAAATGTATTTAATTTAATATAAAAACATATTCAAAGCCTCTAATAAATTTCTTTAAGGATTTATTGAGCTTCTAAAATATTTTCTTAATATTTTACTAAATAAACCAATTAATTTAGATTTAAAAGTTTTGAGAGCCTTAAAACCTTAGAGAGAAATTGGCCTAAAGAAAAACAGGCAGAATGAGAGAAAATAAACCAATTCATTTGGCTCACACGCACACTCACACACAGAGAAGTTGCAAAAGCCAACTCCCAAAAATAAATACCAAGAAGAGATGGAAGAAGACTAAAAAGGAAAGAAAAAAGTATAGAAAAAGCAAAGAAAGAATGCCAAAGGAAGCCAGATGACAGCTGAGAGGTGGAACAAGGATACCAGAAGATAAAGGCTAGTTACTTTTATGAATTGCTATCATCAGCTCAAAGGACGAACGGTCCTTGGACAACAAAAAAGCATTCTCATTGATATTTTTATGGGCCAGGTTTTCAGCTTGGTAATATTTTTTTATTTGCATTTGTTTGGGCTTTGGGCCGTGCTTTCATTCAGCTGTTTACGCCTGGTTACACGCAGCTGCGAGTGTGTGTTTCTGAGTGTGTTTGTGTGTGGGTTTTAGCAACGATGATGATGCCATTGCCTTTGCCTTTGCTGCTGCTGCTGCTGGCGCTCTTCGGATTCTGTTGCCACCGCAACGGCTTCTGTGGCTCCTGCTCCCCTAAGTTACCACAGAGCTGCTGCTGCTGCTGTTGCTGCTGCTGCTGCTCTGTCGGTTTGTTTATTTGCGAATAAAAAAAAAAGAACGTTTGCAGCCAGAGCCCAAAGCTGGCTAACAACAACAGAGGCAGCTGCTGTTGCCGCCTGACTTTAAAATGGTTCTCTGGAGAGCGAGCTCTTGCAGTCGCTCTCGACTTTGGTCAGTGTCAGGACACTGGCACCGAGGGCCTAATAATGGTTTTAATTCAAGAAACTTAAAATGTTTACGATGAATTCGATATATATGTAAATCTTCACATATTTTCTATATAATATAGATACCATTTGATTTTTCTCCTTTTTAAAATATCCAGCTTTTCTCTACACACTCCATAACTGCCCCAAGCCCACTGTAAATCCTGCGAGAGAGCGCACTAGGTGGAGCTCTCTCTCTCTCCTCTCCCTTTCTCTCCGTTTGAGGTCCTGGCTCTCCGCTTCCCTGGGCCCTGTGTCGTTGACTGCCGGCTGGCTTTGGCGCTGGCTTCGCTGCTTGTTGAGCTCCGGCTGAAATTTTGGGGGGTCCTGCAGGATGGGGCTGTCGCTCGGTCGGTCGGGCATTCGGGGTCTGTGGCATCCGCAGCGAGGACGTGTCGCCGGCATTCATTCAGAGTTAGTTGTGCCTGAGCTTCTGCCAGAGACAGTCAGGTCTTCGTCAGTCAGTCGTCAATTGGCGCTCCTGGGATTCGATTCAGCTGGTTTCCGCTTCCGGTTCCGTGATCCGAGTTCCAAGTCTTTGGCTTTGGTAACCTGTGGTTGTGCACCTTTTTCTAAGCCCGACTTTTTTGTACAGCTCGTATTTTTCTAAAAAAAAAAAACAAACAAACATTTTATGCCTAAGCAAAAACGGTTTCCAGTGCAAATTGGCCCAGAAAACAACAAGTATATAAACTAGTTTACCCACCGCGAGTGTGTGTGTGTGTGTGTGAGTGTTGGTCGGAGGGACGTGAGTGTGTGTGTGTGTGCGATTGATTAAACAAAATAAAGGTAACCTAGGCCAACTGGAAGTAGGGAAGGCCCGCCAAAACCCTTAAGCCTAAACCAAAACCAAATCCTTAAGCAAAACCTCAAGCAAATCCTCGAGAAAATGGGCTGCAATACCAGCCAGGAGCTGAAGACGAAGGATGGCGCCGCCATCGATGCGGTCAGCAATGGGGAGCCAGACCCGAGTGCTCCTCCCCTTGAGGGGGAGTCCTCCTGCAAGTCCTCGAACAATCATACAAATCACGCCAAATCAAATTCAATTATCTCCAATGGCGATGCAAAGACGGCGAATGGAGGAGGAGGTAATGGAGGTGGCAGCGAAGCAACAAATGGCATTGACCGACCCTGCGACAAGGCGGCAATCACGGAGCTCAACGACGAGGAGGACGAAGGTGAGGCCGGACTTAGTTCTCGATAACCAATACATTCATATTAACACCTATTCCACATTTCGGTGTGCCTGTGTGTGTGTGAGAGTGCACTGGGAAAAATGAGGAGAGTTGTGGTTTAGGGAGAAATTCAGGTTAAATCGTTGGCAGTTTTTGGAAGTTCGTGTATTAATTTTGTTATTAAATTATATAGAATTTTATATGTTAAATTATTTAAAATTAAATTAAAACTTTTTATAGGGGAAGATTATTTTAGAGACTTAAAAAAGTAATAAAAAGCTTTCAAATAGTCATAGAAAAAAGTAAAATTTTGTATTTAATTATTTTTTATTTTATTTCTTTATTTTTCTCGAGTGTTTTTTGTGTTCGAACTGCAAAGGAAATCCTGTGACCAGGGGCTCAGGGTATTGTTTACTGTATCAACACACGGCGGGCGCACATCGTTATCGCTGTTGCCATTTTGCTCGCACTTTTCCCATTTCCCATTTTCCCATTTCCCGCCCGTGTGCTTAATGGTGTCGCAAATATGAATTGTTTAACCGAACACGCTTATAAATATATATGTATATATATAGTTTTGTTGTGTACACTGCACTCCATTACGCGCCAGTACACCCGCAAGCATTTTTATGTCCGCCAATGGCAAATTTGTGTGCAAGATCCTTAACTTGGTTAAGTAGCCGCCGCGTTGGCCGGCCCTTAGCCTTGGGCGGAGAGTTTAGTCCTAATGCCGTCGGCTCCTGTTTATGTTATCTAATAAGCGTAGCCCGGGACTATATGGTATGTTTATGTTTTATGGCCAGCGATATGAGCCATATCATAATACAAATTCCATAGCCTGCTTCAGGGGGCACAGGACGACTTTACGACCTATGATAATAACGTTTACGCCGGGGTCGACGTTAAAGACTTTGATGTGAACTATTAAATACTAGAGAATGTGTTGAGGAGTAAAAGTCAAACTAAATAGTATTTGCTCTTGTTAAAAAGGAATTTATTTGAAGGGGTTTTTATTATAAGTAATACAAAATAGTAATAGCAGCCCAAATAATATAAAATAAAGAGTAGAAAATCCTTTTTTTGGTTCTACTTTTTAGGGACTACACCTTTTTTTTTTAGAAATTTAATTTTTAGATAAGGAATTCCGCTGGAAAAAAGTTCAAAACTGTTCTCTAAGCTAAAAAATGAATTCATCATAAAATAAACAAATCAATATGTAACATTAACCAAAAAACACAGTTAATCTTTCTTCAAGAAAAATATTTAAATATTTTTTACAAGGAGAATTACTTAGAAAAAACTACTTAAATAGTTCTAAATTTTTAATTAAATGTTAAATACTAAAAGAAATATTTCAAAATGTGTTTTTATCCCAACAGCATACGGAGATCTTCTAAAAGTTGGCTCTCATTATTCGTAAATATCACAAAAATTCAGTCTTAAACCACTTCAAAATTCCATCACCCACATTTAACCTTCCAATTTTCTATATTTTACTGTCTAACATTATTTAAATTAGCTGCAATTTTCCCACGTATTCAGTTTAACCACCGACAACCACAATAACTTTTTACTTAGCCTCAAAAAATTGGAACTCAAAGTTCGTTTAATGCCATTTGGCGAAAGCAAAAGAGCCGCAAACATTTAATTCATGTTATTTTTTTTATTCGGGGGCAACTTTTCTGCGGTTTATTTGCTCTTTCCCCCACTCTTTTCTCTCTTTCCAAAATAATGAAAATATGAAAAACCAACCAGAAGCCAAAGCACACACACAGAGCGTTTCCAGAGAATGACTCATAAATTACCACAACGTGCTTGTCCTCCCCTGTGGCAGGTGCAGCAGCAGCCACTGTTTGTTTAGCCGACGTTTTCCGCACATTTCCCTACCGCTTTTCCCCGCCGTTTCCCTCTTCAGTGGCAGAGTTTCCCCCGGAGGGAAAGAGCTGATAAATTGTGTAGCGACACTTTATCAATGGTTAGTGGGTTGGTGGCAAAGTTACCCAGGAAAATTTCATTCCCCGTTAATGCCGCAAATTATGATTATTGCTTAGTAATTTCACGGGAAACTCCTCTTGCTCTCTCTCTCCCTTTTGAGGGTTTTAATTTGGCCCAAAAATATATATGTAATCCCTGGTATTCATGAGAAGCAGCTGCGCATTTTCCTTTTAACCAGTAAAATTTTTCGCATGAGGTTTTCCTCAGTTAATTAGAAGTTTGTGAAGGCTTTGAGGATGAGGAAATATCTGGGTAACTTCTCTCTGAACTTTAATGAGCTCTCGAAGTCAGCAAAAGACAAAGATTCAATATTGAATATTCAATATTCAATTTGTCTGTAGTGTTTCATAAATATTTACCAGCTGCCTTCGATTTCTTTTCTTTCTTTGAATTGGTTTTGCCTGCCATAAAGTTGCTCACTATAAAGTTTAGGCCGTTTCTCTTGAAACTTTTTTGATTTTTCCTCAGAGCAGAGCATAAAAGAGGACTGAAACATAAAAAGAAAACTAAAAAGAAAAGCGGAGGGCACCCAAATCAACCATAAAACTGCCGCTTTGTTACGCTAACGATTTTTGGTATTACAAACACGTAGGCTGTATTTCAATTTCTTGTGCTTTACGATTTCATTCCCCAAACTGTAAGTAAAAATAAATTAAAAACATAAATCCGCTGATGGCTTAGCGGAAACGGAAATGGTAACAGCCACACACTTTTTGCGGCCTGTCAACTAATTAAGAAATGTTGATGACTGGGCCCATTTCATTTCGTTATGTACTGGCCACGCCCTGTCGAAATTACCTGCGAATTACGGATGTGCCGGAAACAGGAAGTGTGCGGGGGACATAAATTGCCAATAAAGATGTCAACTCATGCAAAGTATAAGCCTAAACAAACAAAGGCAAGAGGGGGAAGTGGGAGGAACATGCTAAGTCCTGGCAAAGCTCCTTTTCGGATGCCTTTGCCTAATGCGAAATGCAAATAAGTCCCAGCCAGTGTTTGAGTTCAGCTCTTTCAAGAGACAAGCAATTAAACTCTACGCACACACACTAGCGGAATCGGGGATAAAACCTACTCTGAGATGCTCTTTAAAGGATATTCAAAGAGTTGAGTGGGTGAAAATAGCTGGTTGATATTAAATATTCGATTAAATCAAAGATGGGAGTGCTTATTGTGGAGTTTAGTGATGTTTTCTTGGGAATTAATTAATATAAATTAATATTATACTTGTTTTGACATAGTAAGTAATACAATAATTAATCAAAGTCGCTCTTTTAAGGATATCTTAGGACTTTGAAGGAGGAAAATCTATGGAAAATAAATGGAGAGTAAAGTTGAGCTCTTTATTATTGAGTTTACTGAGGTTTTCTCAGGCTTTTAAACGCTTAATTTATTGAATTTTATACAAATCTAAATTATATCTCTAGTTCCTGTTAATTTCCCATATTCCCTTTAGAAAAAGAGTATTTTAAAATCCAATTTTCCTCACACAAAGCCTGCCAGCATTAACGGCAGCTTAAAAAAGACTGCGGGCGCCTTTAAGGACATACGGCGACATAAGCTTTATATCGTTTCTTGGCTGGCGTTTATTCCATCAATTTGCATAATTTTAATTAAATTTTTTTGACGACTCTTGAAGTGTTTTCAATGCTCCCACCAAAGGCGTGGCCCTGGCTGTCAGAAATGTCCTGTTAATGTTCAGCTAATTGAGAGCAAATAAGGTGTTTGTTCGTTCGTCCTGCCGAACAGTCAATTTGATTTATTGGCCAAATGATTTTCCAAGGAAACACGTATTCTGTTTACACTTGTGCCCCTCCTCCATGCAGGGGAGTGGCTCTCTGGCTGGTCACTTTCATGATGATGTTGATGTGCGTGGCCGTTGTCGGTCTAATTAGCACAATACCTTCAACGGGGTGTGTCCTGGGTCCTGTTCTGTTGATAAGCCAGGTAAGGCTAGGCGTTGGCCAAACGCTCTGAAAGAGGGGTTAACAGGGATTCAATTAGCCAAGCGGAATAAGCAAATTATTTCACTTAATATTAAGTGAATAAAATTAGCATAGAATTTACTAGATGAATATTCATAAATTGTTTGGTTTTTGTTTGTTATTCAAGACGGAAAATATTATTATGGAGATATTTCAAGTTAAATTTACATATTAAAGACATTTCTCAAAGGTTTTAAATAGATTTTCTTCTATGAATATTTATCTTACTATTTTATAGTCAAATATATTCAAATTCCCTTTAAAATATCCCAACAAAACCCCTCTCTCTGCCTTGACATCCCTCAAAAAAATCAATAACTATAAAATACTTTCACGCCAAGATATCGAGAGTCGTTAAATTTTACCAGGCAAAAAATGGAATTAAAATTCAAATTTAGCAAAACGTTTCACAGTCCATTTGGTTTTCGCCAGGGAAGTCAGCCGTACCAATAACACGTATCCGCCACGTTGGACCGACGCATTAATTTCAATTTGGCGCAGCACGGAGGTCCTGTCCTGTCCTGGCCTAAAAATACACTTTTTGGCAATGGCCTTGCCCACAAATATGAATAATACCAAGGGGGTAGAATGGGGCCTGGCATATTTACACGAAAGAAATGCATAAAATTGGACACTCGGGTGGCATTAAAGCGCCGGACAAATGCCAGAAATGCGTGCCCGAATGATATTTAATATCTGTGAGTGTGTGTGAGTGGGGTCCGAGGGGGAAGAACGCTGGCGCCAAGACAGCAATGGAGGAGAATTCTGCATAAGAGAAAGGGTGTGTGTGTGTGTGAGTGTGTGTGTGTGGGCCATTAGTGCCCCATTTATATGGATGGTGGTGATGTGTGCGAACGGGCCTAATGTCTGCGTGTCTGCCCTGTTAAAATGCCTTTTAAAACAGGCGCGCAAAGCATTTCCTAAGCTCTGCAATTTGCGGCGCCTCCGCAGCGGAAATGATAAATTGACATTTGTTGCTGGGTGGGGGAGAAGCTTCCGGTGAACGGGATACTTTTCCCCTCTTTC